TATACTCCAAGCATATCTTTCAAAATCTTTTCATTTCTTCACTGGGAGGCCTTTGCTTCTTCTCCTGCTTAAGTTGCTGTGAGTATGTCTGAGTTGGTCAGAAAGAGCAAATATTCTGACCTTCTAAATAATTTTTATAAGTTTTGACTTAAAGTATGAAGGTTTTATCATCTCTGAGTATCCATGTGTTTGCAGAGCACCCATATTAGCTATTTAGAATAATAGTGCTGAGAGAGTCCTCAGGGCACTCAAACCTGCAGCAGTCAAGCTCAAGCCACAGTAAAAAGCAGAGCACAGCAGTCTTCCTACATGACTCATGCAGTTGTTCCTAAGCAGCATCTTAGAGGACTATTTCATGAAGGGTGTTTTAGGAGAGAAGATGTAGTAACTAGATGTTGAGGACCAAATCATACATTACTAATACTTAGAATGTAGTTATTTGGCAGCAGAGAAAAACACTAGAAAACAGAATATTTATTCCCTCCACTATTCTTTGTGCTACATTTTCTGTTGAGCTTATTGAGTTTTATTATTCTTGTTAGTAAAAATGAATATCCAGTACTAAAGCATTTAGGAAACACAGCACTGCCTGCACTTCAGGCCATTAAATCTTTGTAAATCAGCCCTGGAATATCAGCCTTTCCAATACATCATTATCTTTTTGCATGGTGAGTTGCTCTAATTGCAAACTGTCTAGATGAGATCCCACCCGTGCATTGTAAAATCACCACAAAGCATAATTGGATGAGTCTTAACCATTCTTGGCAGTAGTCAATCTCTTCTACCCCAGTGGCTTGTGAAGGTATTAAAGGAAAGGACAGCTTCAATATGTATAAAAGAAGGTTTTGGCTACTTATTTTTACAGTGAGGAGAAATCTTTCTGTGGACGGGGAGGAGCAGGAAATCTCCAGCAATAAAAATGTCAAAAAAAAAATAAAACACATGAACACAATTAATGACTCAAAAATGCCTTTTGTTTCAACAGCTTCACTTAGTTGCCTGCTGGTAGCCAAACACCACACTAACACACTCTTAAATTAATTTTAATTTTTTTCCTTGTATTTAAACTAATTTTTAAATCCATCTTCAGTTCCTGCCTGCCTAAAGTGAGATAGAGTGCCTACTCTCATGGCCTTTTCTTAACTTCCTTTCAAATGTGTTAATGCAAGCAGAGGACAGGGCTCTCTGCACAATTACTGCAAAGGTGCAACACTTCACTGGATTTTAATTCTCAGAGTAAATGTACACAACCTGCTGCATTGGTTGCCAGCATGTCTCAAGGACAGCATTGGATCTATCCAAGGTAACTCCAAGATGAAGTTCATCTCCCATGCCAGGCAGCTGGTTCCCAAACTTAGCATCTCTTTGGAAACCCATAAATGGACATCCCTCTCCTTGGATACTTGGCTCAAAGAGTTTAGTAAGGACTGTTTGCATGGAAAGATCTGGATTGAGATTTAGTATCTGATATCACCTGCATGCTGCTAGTTGTTGGTGTATGTTCTGGCATTTTCCAGAGCAATGGTGCTCAGCAGCTTGTGAGATGGACTGTTAGGAATGTAGATATAATAGACAAGGATTTTTAAAAAAATGTTCATTGCTTTTGCTGATTTCTTGTTTTACTGTTCCTGCTGTGAAAACAAAAATCAGTATAACATGGAGATGTTCAGATCTTTAAAGTATCATAAAATGGGCATTGAAAAATCACTGGCACCAAGAAGAAGGCAAAGAAGACACCTCACTTTGTGTAAGACTAGTGTCAAAAAAACATTAAAATCCTTTCAGAGCATTTGACTTTCAGCTCTCTCATGCACATAAGTGTCAGACTGTAAGGTAGTTTTGCTTAGAGAATATGGCACTATCTATTAAATAGGCTCTGTTAGTTTCCTAAGAAAACTTTCTAGTTAAATATTTCTCATCAAAAACCAAGCTTCATTCATCTTTTCATTCATCTCACTTTTATTAGGTACTAACCTAGCTGCTCAGGCAAGTGTGTAGGAAGGTTTGATCTTTTCTTTTTTGAGTTGGAAAACTTCCATGGCAATGTATCGGCCATTTATGCCTATGGAAAATATCACTATCCATTATCCATTCCCATTCTTAGACAGAGAAAGTTACAGCCAGCATTTACTGCAAGGACACTATAAAACCATTTACTAGCCAATAGTGTTGTATTCACTATGAAATATGTGTCTCAAAGAGAAGGGGAAGTGGAAAGGGGAAGCAACTAATAGTATTTTACATATTTAGATAATTTTTTGGTCCTCAAAACTTCCTGGGCCATTGTTTTCCCCCTAGGTATTTTTTTTAATTATTATTTCTGTTTGGGGCTTTTTTTTCCTAATAAATTCTTTCTTTTTTTGCCTCATCTCACTAGGATGGAGCCCCTTTCAAGTGACTTCCTCTGTGCATGTGTTGTTCCTCTAGGGTGTTAACTGAGATTTCTCTGAATAGTTCTGTACATCCTTCTCTGAAGTCTTTAATCCCATGAAAAATCTTTTAGTAGGCAGTCCTACAGCTGCACTCACAGTTTCTGCAACTAAAATGCAATCCTCCTCTGGTACCCGCTTGGGTTATCCTCTGTGGTTGGTCCTAGATCCCAGACACACTGTTTGAAGTGGAACAAAATCAAGACCATGCACCTGCCAGCCTGTTTTTCCCTCCTGTCCTGGCAGAACTAAGGCGTCTTCCACTAGTTCAGGATTGTAGGCTGAATTCAGAGGGCTGAACTTTCCTCTGAAGTGTAGGATTCCTATTAGTGGCTTCAGTTTGAAATTCAAATGCTTTAAGTTTCTTTGCACTGAAATATGTCCTGAAATAGACTGCTAAATTCAGATGACATACCATTGGAAGTCATCAGGTGGTGCCCTCTCTTGAGTTTTCCCTGCATTGGGGAACACCAGTACAATCATGTATCACTGGAAACTGTTTTCTAAATTTTCAATTCCCCAGAGCCGCACCGATGAATTTACAATTTTTATAGGATTGTTATAGTTTTATTCCTACTTCTGTTGACCCTTGTATTGTGGGGTTGGTTTCTGTGTATCCCATACTTTTCATTTCACCTTTTTAAGTTCCAGGTTTTCCTTTTAAGGTAAAAACATTTATTTATTTGCAAGTCTGTATTCTGCAGTAGCACTTGTAAGAGTGGCACCTTGCCATTCACTGTGGTCCTGAAATTCCCATTAAGCTCATAACCATACCCTGGTTTACTAGTAGTACTTCTGTTATACACTAACTAAGCTCCTGAATTATTTCCATCCTAGAGCAGAAGGGATAAATCTCCAGATACATGTGCTTCATTTGTTTTAAAGAATATAATATTAGGCAGAAAATAAAAAAAAAAATTATATCAGAAAATCTGACCACATGAAATCAAATTAATTTAAGTATCCTTTTGCATCTCTAAAAACACCAACACGCCCTCTCTCACAGATGTAGAAGTCCTGCATGGCTCTCTTCTTTTATTTTCACCAATACAAAAATAATTTTCAGCAGTTCAGTGGAAGAAAAGACCTTCCTGTCAGTGGCTTGCAGCAGTACAGAAAAGCCTGATCCCCTGGGTTTGTTTTTGTATGGGAAATTATTACACTGTAACATAGGCTAACTTGCCTTGCAATGGCTTGTTTTTCATAGGCTTTATTTCAAACTGGAACTCAAATTGTTTTCCGTTCATTAGCATTTCTTACATTATTCGTCTGAATTTTTAACAGCCTTATTTGAATCAGCCTGTGAGCTATCACATCCCCCCAAATCCACACTTATGATCTGCCAGTCCACAAATCAACTTTCCAGTGAATGTTTAATCAGTTTATGGTAGAAAAGTCTTTTTATGTAGATTTCAAAAAAAGTTAGACTTATGAAAGCAGGCAGTCTCTGCATGTCTGTCCATCTAACCATTTGGCTATCTGGTATTTGCAAGAGAATATTTAAAAACCTGTTGACTGGCATCCTCCATCTCCGGATGTGTAATGAAAATAAGCAGCTGTATAGGTGTCCCAGTGCAACAGGCTTGCCTACTGAGGGGAGAAAAAAATCTACAAACCTTTGTAGACACATGAGAATCCACTTGGGAATGAGTGAGCAGTAATACTCAAACTGCAAAAAACTCTTCGGTCAACTTGCATGATACAAGAATTTGATGGCAAAACACAGATGCAGGCTTTGCTGTTCCTGCAGTTTGTGGATTGCACAGTGGCTAGGGACATTGAAAAAGATGTTTGAGAGGAAAGTCTCATGTTTTGACATTCTTTGCAGAGTCACTAGCTGATGTTTAGTTAGTTGGTGTCATTAATGTTGATGTTTAAATAAGTCAGATGGAATAGGCTCTAAAGGCACCTATTTTTTCTTATCAGCTGAAGCAGCTGGCTCAGATACAGGCATCTGCACTGCAGACACCTGTATGTACGTACAGTCCAATGCATCCCATTTCCATCATCTGTCTGTAGGACCTTTTTGGAGGGAGGATTTTGTCTGTCACTACACTATGCTCAAATCCACTGATGTCAACTGTTTAGGGGGCCTAGGTTAGTCCCCTACCACCACAAGGGAACAAGGCCTGCTCCAAACCACAGTGGTGGGAGTAGATCCAGCACCTGTTACTGTGATTGTGCCAGTGCACTCCATAGAATGACCACACACCTCAAACAGTGTTGTCATGGGGGAAAATGTGTTCAGTGGAGAAAAGCACCTGGCCACCCCTACCAGGACTATCAGCCTCCTTGTGTGAATCATTTTTGATTTCTTAAAATGTGTGACTCAAGCTATTTATTTTTGTAGGAAGGCCTACTGTGTGCTAACAGGTAAGCTTCAGAAGTGTGTATGTCAGTAATTTAGCCCAGCTAGTTCCTGAATTAGGTGGGTTGATCAAGTGCTTCAGAAGAGACTTTTTAGTACCACATGTGGCTTGGTTGTGAGCACAACCCACCTTGCTGCTGTTGCAACATGAATGGGCTGGACTGTCACTGCACTCTAAGCTCTGCTCCTTTCCATGATTGCAGGATTTCACACTCCAACCTCCGGGGATGCCAAGGGAAGCATTATGGAGCAGAAGCGCTCCCGTGAGCCTCAGTAAACATGAGATGGCTGTCTCAAGCAGCAAGCACTGGCAGGGCAAGGCTGACCCTTTCAGTGTGGTAGCTGCCTCCTTGGTGAGCCAACTGCCTGACCAGCAGAAGACAAGCGAGTCACCTCTCAGCTGGTTCAGAGGAGTGTATTTACCCCCTGCACTGCACCCATTAAACAAGACGTTAGTCAAGGGTAACAAGTGGAAGGATGTAGATAGCACCCAGGAAAAGCGCAGGTCATTCCTGCATGACTTCTGTAAGAAGTACAACAGCAGAAAGAAGCTGCAAACCCACCTGGTACACCTGGTGTCAAGAATTTACGTGGAGGACAGGCACAAGGTCCTGTACTGTGAAGTGCCAAAAGCAGGCTGTTCCAATTGGAAAAGGGTCCTCATGGTGCTCAGTGGACTTGCCACTTCAGCGCACAACATTTCCCATGATGATGTACACTATGGAAAGCACCTAAGAAAACTGGACAGTTATGACCTAAAAGGGATATACACACGCTTGAACATGTACACCAAGTTTATATTTGTACGTGATCCTCTGGAAAGACTGGTATCTGCCTTCAGGGATAAGTTTGAACATCCAAACAGCTATTACCATCCAGTATTTGGGAAGGCAATAATTAAGAAGTATAGACATAACGCAGATGAAGAGGCTTTGAAAACAGGATCAGGAGTTCAGTTCAAGGAGTTTATCCAATATTTGTTAGATTCCCATCGACCAGTAGGAATGGACATTCATTGGGAGCAAGTCAGTAAGCTCTGCTACCCCTGCCTCATCAACTATGATTTTATAGGAAAGTTTGAAACCCTGGAAGAAGACGCCAATTACTTTTTGCAGCTGGTAGGTGCTCCAGCCTATCTGAAGTTCCCTAAATTCAAAGACAGACATTCCTCTGATGAGAGAACAAGTGCAGAAGTAGTGAGGCAATACTTAAAGGAATTGTCTAAGGAGGAGAGACAGCTGACCTATGACTTCTATTACCTTGATTACTTAATGTTCAATTACACATCACCAAGTGTATAGCACCAGAATAGCTTCAGGCTTCTATTAGATATTTATCGTTTTGGGATTCAAAGCAGCTACTTTGATATCAGCCCTGAAAGGAAACAAAGTTACTGCTAAATGGAGTTGACTTAGTGGGGATTTTATAAGCTAGAGTGATATCAATTGGCATTAAATTATAAGAACGCACAGAAAAGAAGACCTGTTAACAGCATAAATTGCACTAAAATGCCTGAAAAAGCTGCTTTTATGATTGTGGATTACACTATGGTAGCTCAACCAGCTGTTGCATTATCTTACCTAATGTTCTTTTAATGTTTTAAGAAGAAAACATTCAGAGTAGCGTGATTCTTTTTTGGTGTGTCTGCTTTAGAAATTGTTTTTGAAACAACTTTTGAATGTATTTTTACTTTCTGTCAGTTATTAATAAAGAAGCATTGGCTAATTTTCTAAAATATTTCCAGCATCCTCAGTTACAAGGCTTCGTTGTTTGATTACCATTAAACTGTAGCCATTTTTAGGCCTGATTTTTTTTTAATTGAAGGATGCACTTGAATACAAATGCATCAAGCTACAAATAACACAGCAGCTCAGTTGATGAGTAGAGTAAAATTGGGTAAGCCTGTGAAGTGCCAGTCCACTACCCCATTTTGATTGATGCACTGGAGCTGACAAATAGGAGAGAGAGCGCATATTTTCTCTACTTTCAGAGAGCTGCTGCATTCATTAAAATTAAGATTTTAACTTACAGAGGGTACATCATTACATATGATGCATGGATACTGTGGTCCCAATACTCAATGTAGTCTTCATTTTTGGTGATAGGGCAAAGTTTTAGTGTGGCAGCTACGAAACAGTCTAAGGTCTGTACTGAGAAGCAACCTCAGTGCAACTGCTGTGACCATTCTTGGTCTGCCAGGGTCCAATCATCAGCCCACCTTCCAGGAATTTTTAACACAGAAGGTGCATATGCCCATTGCCTCTCAAGCCCATAAACTGGTGCTGCCTCCAGAGCTTCCTGAAGTCACCTGTGTCTTGCTGTCCTGCCTGCCTTGTCAGCAACCAGCAAACCCCAGGAGTGGGGTGGATGCTTCAGTTATATGGGGTGGGATGTGTATTGGTGATTTTTCCTAGAGGCAGGTATGTCCAGAGTCCCACAGTCCTGGTTATAAAAGGAAAAGGTACCTTCTACATTCCCCTTCGCTCTCCTCCCTCAAATGCTGCCTGACCAACATATGCAGTTGTTCCTGAAACCTCCATTGAAGGTCGCCAGGGTGTCCCAGGAGGAGGAGAATCTCTGAAAAATCACAGGATCATGGAATCATTGAAAAAGACTTTTAAGATCATCAAGTCCAACCATTAACCTAACACTACCAAGTCTACCACTAGACCATGTCCCTAAAATGGGTAGGAAAAATCTCTATGCCCTTCTGCTATAAAGATGTCACCTGTTCTTTGCTTTCTGGAGTGGTTTGGGTCATCTTACTCCAGTGTCTTGACATAGCAGGTTGTAGAATAAGGAAACAGCTTGATGGGAAAGTGATGCAAGTAAAATGTCCTCTGTTCCCAATCACTGGCCACAACTAGTGCAATTATTGCTGTCTTTTCCTTTATCTCGGGCAAATGTACAGTTTCAGTCGTTTCACAGGAGTGGGTCCCTGCTGAAAGGGCAGACCATCTCCTATGTACCCTTGGCTGCTTGTTTCTCCTTCAGTTTTGTCCTCAGAAGAGGAAGAAAGCCACCTCCAGTCTCTGTGGTGCCAGTATGTAATTGAGCAAGCTCTGCATGTCTCTCCTTGTGGCAGGACAAGCTGCTCCAAGGGAGAAAGTTGAAGGTGATGCTGTTTGTGACTAGCAGCACCCATAGCTGAATCCAGCCTGTTCCCTGGGGCCATAGAGCAAAGAGGAGAAGGAAAAAGACATCATCACTGTGAGGTGTTGCAGTGTGGTATGTGTCATGACCATGAGGGAGGTAGATGTTCAGCACCCATAAGAAGTTCCAAGGATGCCTTGGACAGGTAAATACACACTTTTGTATGAGCTTGTGTGAGCTCTTGCTATGCCTGGATGGACCCACAGGTGTTAACAGCAGAAATGTCTGGGAGTGGATATCTGACAATTGAACTGCCCCCATGCATGCTTTTCCTCAGTAGTACATGTTCCCCCTTTAAACACAAGACAGTGTTTGACTCCGGCCTTTCCTGGCAAAAACCCCTCCAGATTTTCCTGTTCCAACCACACCATGGGGGCACCATACTGGAGAGGTGGTTCCTTACAGCTGATGTCATGCTGGACACCAGTACACTGCCACTCCAGTGTTGTGCATCATGCTGGTTAATGGCTCTTACTGCATTCCCATGTGTCTTTACCCAGCAGGATTTAATTTTTATTTAACTTGGCCATGCACTTTCATGACTGTTGCTCTCAAGTGAGACTATGCATTAAGGACACTAAAGAGAACCTCCTGACAGTTTTGATTTTGTACCATCCAACCTCCTAACTCATGAAAAAACTGCCTTGGTTTTCACTTGGATTTGACCTTGCTTTGACCTCTAGATTCTCTGCTCTTGTAAGTATTGAATTCAGCCTCAAATCCTGAGTGAATCATTCTTGCTTTATAGGAAGGCCATTGAAGTTATTAATAAAAAATAAATTTACACCAACCTTTGGATGTCTATATATTTGCTTTGTCTTGTCTGTTGTGGATGTGTGTAAAATAATTGTTAATTTACAGACAAAAAAAATTACTCGTGTGCTATGAGGAAAAAAGTTTAACTGCTAATAAAGAATGGAAGCCAATCTATATATGAGTTTTGTATGAATACTTTAATTCAGAGAAATAAATACTAATAAATCGCAACGTTTATGAAGAACTTAAGCTCCACATTGTGTGTGCTTTAGTGACAAACTTTCAGCCTGTCTGATCAGAGAATGACAGAGACTTGGGGGGGTGCAGGTGTAATTACATTAAGAAAGCCTTACAGTCTCATAGGATTTTATCTACTAACTAGTCTTAGATAAAGCTATTGTTTGAGTCAAGGAAAGGGTCGAAAGAAATTATTAGCAAATGTTTGTTTTCTGCAAATGAGAGGGAAAATGACATTGATTTGCATGCATGCGTGGACATGGACATCAGGTCCCCAGAATGTCATCTTGAAAATCTGGTATGGCTTACATTTGTGATTTAACAGGGGAGGACACCAGTTAAGGCCTTTAAAGCATGTATGTGCACAGAAGCGTAATTGTTTTAGCTGCACTGTTGTTCTATGGCTCTAGTGAAAGTAATTTAACTTCTTTGTATGCTCAACTTCAAATTTCATAGCCCCTAACTGCACTTAAAAATTCATTTTTTGAAAATCTAACCCAGACATTTGTAAAGAAGAGCCTCTCCATAGTCATCTTCAGCGACCTAAGGGATTCAGATGATCTCAGTAGCAGAATCTAGATTGTACTTTGCCTCATTAACCACATTTTGAAAATCACCAGCCTGCTTTTCTAGGAATTAAGTTACATGATTTAAAATTAACATAAGAGTTTAGCATAATTGAAGTGGGACTGTGATATCTGACTTATGGGATTATAAGAGATAAAGGCATAATTTGCAGCATAAAAGATAACCTCTATTTTTAAAAGTAAATTTTGAAAGGTTAGAGTGTGAGGTTGGGTTGTAACTTTTTTTATATTTTGTAAGAATGCTAAGCAAAACCAGAAACTGAAGGTCATCCGCTATAACAAGTACAAAATCCCATCTCCGCAACTGTGCACAGATGTTTGTCTTATTCAGAAAATTATATTGAACGTATGCAGAAGAGGAATGAAAATACACTCCACAACATTCAGTGCAATTACATTTACACTAGAGATCAGCTGCAGCATGCAGAGCCTCTTTTAAGGGGCTTCATTACAGTAAATGCTTTTTAGTTATGAACATTTCTTCATTTGAAGATCTCTAAGCACTTCTCTAGTGCAGGTCGGTTGTCAGAGCAAGTCAGATGTGCTGTAAAGGCATTACAGTGAGTCTGGGGGAGGACTGGAGTAGGAGGAGAGTGCTCCCTTGGCTCATGTGTCTCTTCCAAACACCAGACAGCTGTGCTTCCCTCCTAAAATTTAAACTTGATTTTTGGAAGCTAATGTTCCATATCTGCCTTTCTTCTAAAATGAATCAGTATTAAATAAAACCGAATTGTTTTATTTAATAATAAGGTTTTAAAATAATTAATAAATAAAATAGCAATAAATTAAAAATAAATTAAACTGCATAGGTGTGCATTCTCAAATTCTGATACAATTGTCAACATAAGGCAGCTTCTTTTTTTCAGGTAGGATTTGGCTTGCAAAGCTCAGACACAGCCATTATGCCCATCTCTTCTAAAACTGCTGGTAAACTGTTGCTTGCTGAAGTCAGAGGTGTGCAGCCACAGTGCAATCAAACACGACACATACTCTTGAAATGTCCTCTGATGGAACTCCCCCAAAAGGCCAAATTTATTGGAGCTACTCCTGCCTCAGGCTGTTCTGTCTTTGTGATGTGTCCTTGGAGATCACCACTTTAATTTTAGGTGTAGTTTAAATTTAAATGAAAATTGCAATATGACACTTTGCACTTTGAAAGGAAAATATTTTACTAGAGCTTTGTATTGTATATGTAGGTTATGTATAAATGTCTTTGTTGTATGTGCCTTCAGGCTAACAATACATCAGATAAATCTTTTTAACTGTAATGCTAAAACCAGTTTATCAGCTTTATAACCTCCTTTGATGCCTTCAAAACTACTTTGCTCTCAGAACCTAAAGTCTGAAATCAGACCATAAATTATTATACTTCATTGAAAATATGGATGCACCTGTCCTGTATCAACCAACTCATGTACTGTTCAGAGGGCAGGGCAGGCACATAAAGTACTGGGAGGTGGAACTGTCTGACTTAGCAAAGGACATCTGTTCATATCCCCAGATGCCTGGGATTGCTTTGCCTTCCAAAATGTGTCCAAGTGGGTGGATGCAGGAAACAGTCATATTATTTAGTTTAATGAGAATATCTTAGATTGTTTGGTATTAATGAAAATATCTGTTTTGTGGGAGAACAGTTGAGCTCTGAACAGTTGAGCTCTGAACTGTAGCTAACTGCAGTGAGTCCCACATGTTTCTTCTATTTCAGATGTAGCTCTGCTTGTGGCTGGAGTGACAGACTTGGACTTCAGAGACCTGGATCTTCCTCCAAGTTCTGTAACTTCATAGACTTGTTGGACAAATATGAAATTCTCTGTACCTCGGTGTCCCCATTAGTAAAGTGGTCCTGTACATGGAAGGAAATTATACCATGCACCTTCTCCTAAAATCATTGAACTATGTGGATAAAGAGCTGTGGTTAGAAATTAGGTATTGGTATGGAATTTAACTCATAGGATATTCATGGCCTTTCTTTATGTTTTACTTCCAATGGCTTGGAGGAAGCTGGGGGCTTCCCAGCTTTGCTCCAGCTGAGAAATGCATCATTCCACTCTGTTCTGGGCAATTGGCAGGCTTAAGAATGCAAGCTCTGTTTCAAAACACTGTGCATTTGTCAAGCCTATCCAGGCACTGTCTCAGCATAAAACCAATGCCAGGATGTCTGACCAGGGGCAAGTCTCCCTCCAGTTCCTCTGGTACAGAGGAGAGCAGAGACAGGGTGACAATCTTGCTGTCGCATTTTACTCTGAGCCCAAATAAAAGAGAAGCTATTTTATTTTGGTGCAGTAGCTGTAAATAAAGTGATGCTTAACTAGAGAATTCTGCAGAAGCAACGGATCCCAATCAGGTATGCAAATCCCTGTCTTCTCCTAAACACTAGAGCTGTACAATCCAGTACCCAGGGCCTTGTTCCCCCGTCCCTTTCTGAGGTCCTGCCACTCCTGTGACACGCTGCAGTTTACCTGGCTGCTAGAATATTTCAGGATTTATCTCCTATTAATATAGCCACTTTTTCTATGGCTCTATGGAGGCTACCAATAACATGGAGATGACATTGAGACAGACTGTGTTGCTTTCTTCTTTTTGTCTTCAGAAAACAACCTGATTAACAACTGTGAGAGAGGGGAAAGAGTCCTTACAAAAGGAAAAGGAAAATC